AGACCCTGAATGAGATGGATTGATATAGTGACTGGGGCAATGGGGATTAATGTTTTAGAATTAGTGAGACTGGCTTAGGACAGGGCAGGGTTCAGAACTGCCATATACAGGACTGCAGGAGGCTTGATGGCACACAACAACAACAACAACATAGCCAGGACTACCAAAAGAACAAACAAACCTATCTTAGAGAAAATGCAACGAGAGTGCTCTTTAGAGGCAAGAATGGTTAAATTTCCTTTCTTTTTTAAATTTTTTTTATTAAATTTAATGAAAGTTCACAGAGACTTAGGGTTTCTATTTATTTATTCATTATTGCGCTTTTCTCCCTGCCCAGCCCCTCCCCCAAATTTGCTCTTCTCTTTGAAAAGTAAGAGAAATTTCTTTCATTGTTCTACAATCCCTCCCCCCTCAAATTTCCTCTCACATACTTTGTACATTGTAGTATTAAGGACTTATTGTTCCCTAACCATTAGGTGATCAAGAATATGCAAATAGGACATGTTAGCGTATCCACAAGGGGATTGATTGGCTAGTCTTACCATTAAACCAAACAGATCCAGCAGCAGAATTTAAGACCCTCCCCACTGGCAGAGAAGAAGCCAGAGAATGCAATGCATTCATCAGGGCCAGAGATTCTTGTGCCAGTCAAACCAAACCCTGCAGGAACCACAGCCGCAGAAGCCACAGCAGAGAACCAGAGGCCTGACATGAGACAGTGTGGACTTGGGACTGCTACCCCATGGAACCAGAGCTAAGAGCCTTTTGGCCAAGTATGTTGGAGGACTTTAAAAGATGAGGAGATGGAGGGAGAGCCATCATTGGCAAGAGGGATAGCTTTGTAACACTGGCCTAAAACTGCTAGGCTCAAGGCTGAGGTGCCTGCAAGCACATTTCAGAATCCATCCTGACTGTTTTCTGCTAACAACCTGAATTACAACCTTTTGACTTCCTTAATATGCTTCCATGTGGTCTGTGAGCAACCATAATGGGACACAGTAAACAGTAAGATGGATGTTGGGATAACTAGCGAGAGGTACAGAAGCCTCGGGGACATGTCTGACCTCATGGGAATTGGTTTTGTGTTGCTGATGTTGTTGATGGGGCAATTCCCCTTCATGAAGTGGGCAAAGGCCAGATATGGCCATCCCCATGCAACTCTTGCTCTTTTTACAGGCATGTTTGCGAAGAAGTGCCAGTCCTAAGGGAAAGACATCATGCTGGGTAAAGTAAAGGATTATGGAAAGGGAGGAAGGCCATCCGGGAGGTGGGTTCACACAGTGATGTAACAGTGGACTTGAGCATATTGGAGAGCTGAGGATGGCACAGAATAGGGCAAGGTTTCAATCTGTTGTTCACAGAGTTATTATGGGGTGTAATGGAGTGATGACACCTAGCAACAACTCCACCTGTGTGCTCTCCTTACCCGAACCTACAGAACTTGTGCAGCTCCTTAGCGGATCCTTCCCAGGGACCTGAAGTCCCTGCAGGAAGTTCCTGGGAATTTACATCCCCCAGTGAGCATCGCTCCTCCTCCAGCTGCAGCCTTGAACTTGAACCTGCTGGGCAACAATAACTAACATCCCAGGACTCCTTGCAGGTTCAGGCTGTAAATATATTTAATTTGATCTGTTTTTCACAGGAGCTCTGATGTGGCTGTGATTATCATTCCCATTCTACTGATGCAGAAACAGAGCCTCCGAGAGGTTTAGGAAAGTCCGTTTAGGAAGTGGCAGAGTCAGGTCTGAAAGCTGGTCTGTTGATCCAAACCCCTGGCTCTCTTTATCAGGCAACTCTGCCTGCTGCAAACCTTGTGATTCTCGCTCAGGGTCCTCTGCCGGCCGGGCAATAGGACCTGCCCTACAGAACAATGGACAGAGAAGCTGAAGACTCACATTCAGGTGCCTCTGTCTGTCTCTGAGCACAGAAGCATGCCTCTTTCCTTGTGAAAATTTGTGCTGCGAAGTTACGTGCCCCCAAAGGGAAGGCCAACTATTTTTAGAAGGAGGGCAGTCGAGTGGCCTGGAATTATGCCTGAATATGGTCATAATTGGGCAAGGGGCAATGGAAACTCCAATTTTGGCAGAGGGATCTTTTGGAAGTGTAGTTTAGACAAAGTCACTCCTCTGTTTAAAACTCTTTAACAATGGAAAGAGCCAGAATATCAACAGTGACAAAACCCCTCTCACATTCCTGTCTCCAGAAAGCTCTTTCTCATGTCAGAGCCCCCTCCTGACAATCTGTTTCTCTCCCCAGAGCCTCATCATCCTGCAAATATCCCCTTTGGTCTTCTTTAGACGCCTACTGTTTTCCCAAGTCCCTGCACTTTCACACTCCTGCACCTAGTGTACACATGGGAGGTATAGATAGATAGATAGATAGACATCTTCCACAGCTTTGCTCTGCTTGGATGTCTGCTGTGTGGCGTTGAATCAGAACTGATTCAGAGGTGACCCTCCAGCTGTAAGTTATCAGAGGCTGTAAATTGCAGGGAGGATATTGTTCATCGTTCTTCTTTAGAATAGCTGGTGAATTTGAATTTCCTGGTTGGCAGTACAACTCCTTACTTACTAGCCACCATGTTGTTGTTGTTATGTGCCGTCGAGTCACTTGCGACTCATAGCGACCCTATGTAGAACAGCCCTAAACTCTGCTCTATCCTGTGCCAATCGCACTGCCTCTGACACACTCATCCTGATTACCCCAATTACTGAATCAATCCACCTCATAGAGGGTCTTCCACTCTCGTGCCGTCCCTCCACCCTCCCAAGCATGACGTCCCCCTCCAAGGACCTGTCTGTCCCTCCTTACTGTTGTCCAACGTATGTCAGACGAAGCCCCAGAATCCTTGCCTCCAAGGAGCAGCCTGGTTTAACCCTCTCCAGGATGAATCTGTTTGTTTTCTTAGCAGTCCACGGTACCCTCAATACTCTCCTCCAGCACCACAGCTCAAAGGCATCAATTCTCCTTCTATCCTCCTTAGCCATTGCCCAACTCTCTGATGCATAACAAGTGATTGTAAAAACCATGGCCTGTATCAGACGCACCTTAGCTCCCTTAATATCTTGGTTGTTGCCAAATCTTAGGATTCTACTGGGTCACAAACCATATCTCCTGTAAAAGTGTGAGTTTCTTGAGGGTAGGGATCCATGGACAGGGCTTGGCACTAGAGAGCCAGTCAGTCAACTAATATTTACTGGATGACAACCACATGCCTGCCCCTGGAGGCTCAATGGTTAAGCAATTAGCTGCTATCTGAATGATTGATGGTTCGAATGCAGCAGGCACCACAAAGAGGAAAGAGGAGGCAGTGTGACAGCTTACAGCCTTGACAGCCCCATGGAGCAGTTCTCCTCTGTCCTACAGGGAGGCTGTTTGTAGGAACTGATTTGACAGAAGTGGGTCTGGCAGTAGTATGGATGCTGAGGATATGGTAAGAGACAAGACAGACAGACACCTCTGTCCTCAAAAGGCTAGTAATTTTCTTGTGGGACAGTAGACAGAAAGTGAACGCACGAGATAGGGAGCTGGGACAGTAGACAGAAAGTGAACGCACGAGATAGGGAGCTGAGGTTTAGGTACAAATACAAGTGACAAAGAAATTGATGGTGGAAAGGGACAAGTGTGTGGGAGGGGCCCTCAGCCAGGCTTGTCTGAGTGGTAGTCACTGTGTCAATCCATTTCACGGAAGATCTTCCTGTCTTTTGCTGACTCTCCGCCTTTCCAAGTATGATGTCTCATTGCAAAGACTGGTTTCTCCTGAAACTTAGCCCAAAGTAAGCGAGATGAAGTTTCATCCTACCTGCCTCTGAGGAACACTCTGGTGGCACTTCCTTCCTTCAAGACAGCTTTGTTTATTATTTGTTGGTCCATGGTCTATTCAGTGTTCTTCACCAAGACGTTAACCCAAAGGCATCAATTTCTCTTCCGTCATCCTTATTCTTGTCTAACATTCATATACCTGTGGGGCAGTTGAAAATACTAAGGCATACTAAGGACCACTGTTATAAAATAGGATTGGTGCTGGGAGAGGAGAACAGGAAAAGAGTGGATAAATAATGAACGGAGCACTGAACAGATAAGGAAAGATTGTCTGAAAGGAATGCTGGTTTAGGAATTGTATGTATGACAATTAAGAATCTGGAGCAAGAAGTGCATTACAGAGCAAACTCAGGGAGGGGGAAGAAAGGAGGAGGGAGGGATGGAAATGTGCAGCAATAAATGAATGAAAGCCCAACATTTATGTTACCTTTCATTAAAATCACAACTAAATAAAAGACAACATCTGGTACAAGTGATGCCTACATGTTAACTCTGTGTTTGAAAAGAAAATAAAGAGCATTTGTTGTAGTTGTTGAATGCCATCGAGTTGAGTATGACTCATGGCAACCCTATGAACAAAAGATCCTGAACCCTGTTTATCTTGTACCATCCTCACACTTCCTGACACAAAAGAACCCATTGGAGTAGTCTCTGTGTCAACCAACATGGCTGAATGTCTTCTGCTTTGCCAACCCTACACCCATTCCAGCATCATATCCCTTTCCAAGGAATAGCACCTCCTAGCAACATGTCCAAAGTATGTGAGGTGAAGCCTCATCATTCTTGCCACTGGCTGCACCTTCTCCAAAGCATATTTATTTGTTCTCTTGGCCGTTCATAGAATGTTTAGTGCTCTTCTACAACACCACAGCTCAAAGGCGTCAATTCTTTTCTCGTTATTCATTGTTCAGATGCAGAGCAAGTAACTGGAAAGACCATAGCCTGAATCAGATGCATCTTAGTCCTCAAACTGACATCACTGCTCCTCAATAATTTGGAGAAAGGTCCCTAACTGCAAATTTTCCCAGTACAATGCTTATCCTTATTTCCTGACTGCTGGTACCAAGAGTGTTGATTGTGGATCCAAGCAAGATACAAAGAGCATTTAGTCACAAAAAAATGACCATGGCTGGGATCAGGCACAGCTTGGAATTTAAACCAATGTCCTTGCACTTGAAGAACTTTGGAGGGGCCCTTGACAGCAGATTTCCTTAATGCAACTCATCTTCTGAGTTCTTAACTTCTGCTACCACAGATGTTGATTGTGGATCCAATTAAAATGGTATCATTCACAACTTCAGTTTTTTCTCCATTTGTCATGTTGCCTATATGTGCAATGGGGAGGATTTCTGTTTTCTAAATGCTGAGATATAACCCATATTACAGTCTTTGATCTTGAAGCAAGTGCTTCAAGTCTTCTTCACTTTCTGTGAGCAAGGTTGCATCATCTGCATAATGCACGTGGTTGATGAATCTTGCTCCAAACCCAATGTCACGTTCTTCTTTATAAAGTCTAGCTTCTTTAATGATTTGCTCAACTTACAGGTTGAATAGGTATGGAGAAAAGAGACAACCCTGGTGTACACATTTTCAGATTTTAAATCATATGGTGTTTCCTTGTTCTATTCAGACTACTATTTCTTGGTCTAGGTATAGGTTTCGCAGGAGCACAATTAAGTGGGATTTCCTTTTTCCCCCAGTGTTGGGCATATGCTGTTAAGATCCACACAGTCAAATGCTTTTGCATATGAAGAAAACACAAGTAAATAACTTTCTGGAATTCTCTGCTTTTAACCAAGATCTGCTTGACAGCAGCAGTAATATCCCTGGTGACAAGACCTTTTCTGAATTTGGACTTCTGGCAGTCATCTGATAATGTACCATTCCAACTTGGTTTTCAATAACCTTTACAGGATTTTAATGGAATGTGAGCTTAATAATTGTTATGTTCAACAATTTCCACATTCTTTTGGATGACCAGTTTTGGGAGTAGGAACAAATATGGATCTCTTCCAGTCAGTAGGCCAAGTAAATGTTTACCGTATTTGCTGGCAGAGACTGATACGCATGTACAGGACTACATCTGTTTTCTGAAAACCCTCAGTAGATATTCCATCAATTCCTGAGGTCTTACTTTTTGCTATTGTCTTCAGTCCATCTTGGATTTCTTCTTTTAATAGTACAGGTTCTCGATCATATGCTTGCTGTTGTTGTTATGTGCCGTCGACTTGCCTGCGACTCTAGTGACCCTACGTACAACAGCCCTAAACCCTGTTCTATCCTGTGCCAGTCTCACCATCTCTGCCACACCTACCCTGACTACCCCAGTTACTGAATCAATCCACCTCATAGAGGGTC